AAAAGTCCTATACCTACATAGAGAAAAAAAAGGAGGTATTTGCATCTTGAGGTTTGTTTACCCTGTGACGTAGGTCTGTACAACCTGGCCAGCGAAATCCGAACTTCGAACTATGAAAAATTGACCATAATTTCCGATTTTCCGAGGTGTAAAATACACAACTCAGCAGAAGAAAGAAAGAAAAATCGATTTGATATTTCTAGAGATAAATGTATCGATACGGACGATATATTAACGTTGAAATATCGATACGAGTTTTTGGTCTAAAAAATCGATATTCTGGTGGCGCGGAGCGTCTTCGAGGGATTGGGCCGCGTAGCGGCCAGTCGTTAGACGATAGAAAAATCGCACCCGAAGCCCGAACCCAAATTGAGCCTCATTCGAGCGGGTTTTAAAGCGGGGCCCAAGGCTGCAATCGCGGCCGAGCGGGCCTCCCAGCGGCCCCGCTAGGCTAGCGGCCACCGACCCTCGGAAAAGTCATAAAAACGAATGACTCAAGTGCACGTGCAGGGCTCGAGGCATTGCAGCCAAATTGGTCTGTTTGTTATTCAGGGATAGTGTCCTAGCATACGTTTATTTAAAAAACAATTAAATAAGAGGAAGGATTTCAACCCTGAAAAATGTCCTCGATCTCTCCGGGACCACTGCCAGCCTGTGACCCTGGGATCTTTGTCAGTTTTGGTGAGTGCAGTTACAGAGATGGACCATTTTTTTTAGGGAGCGAACAAATCAAAATTTTGAGCCTTAACTTGGTCGCAACCATATCCGGAAGTCATTACAGTGACATTTTTGTGCAATATGCTTCTGGGGAAAGTGCAATACTTAATGAATACTTTTGACAAATCGTGTTTTTTCCGGTTTGCGCTTCAAACGTGATTTATTTGTGGAGTGTCATACGTTCCTTTTTGAATTGAAAAACTAGTCAGATACATTAGATAATGGAGTACAGCATCTCTCATTTCGTAACGCAGGGGGCGGCAAATTTTGCATTTTTTTAAAAAGTAGATTTAAAAAAAATCGGATTCAGAAAAACAAAATTACGAACGAGAAAGCGTCTTTCGGTGACACAAGAAACAGCACCTTTAATTAGTCGAGTTAAGAGAGAAACTAAACACGCAATTTGGCATGGAGCGGTGCAGCAGTGATGATGAGGACTTGAGATAAAAAGGAGAAGCCCTCAGCGCGGCGGACGGTGAATCGAGTCAATGAGAGAGGTCGGAAAAAATTTGGGAACTTAAAACGCTCATAACTCCGTTTATACAAGAATCTAATGTTCTGCAAGCTGTTCCACTGGTTTTCTCGTGATATTTTCTTCCAGTATCACCCCTTGAACTTTAAAATGTGACGAAATAAACATCAACATTTGCAGTTTTTGGCAAAAATTTCATGTCCGACCCCTCTAATTGACTCAATCCACTGTGCGGCGGTCGGCGTGAAACGCATAGCGCCTACAAGACTGTAGGAATACTTCACGCATTGCGCCAAACACAGTGCGGTCAGCGGAAGTTAAAATTATTAAACCACATTTATGTTTGTTCTTGCATAATTTTTACCTTCATTTCTTACAAATGGAAGGCCTTGTTCACACAGATGTAGATAGGTTTACGGAACTTAACTTTCACGCAAAGTTCCGTGCGAACTTTTGCTAGTAGTGAGGGGCATAGTGTCCTTTCTTTTAATTTTTCTTGTTTTGCTGGTTGAAAATGCGGGTGTGATCCCTGCGAAACGTCCCGGGTTTCTTATTATATTTTATGTGTTTCTTTTTATTATTTGCAGCCTTAGTCCCGTTTTAAGTTGTTTCTCTGTTACTGTTTCGGGCCGATTAAGTTGTTTTTTATTGATGTTTCGAAACGAATGAGAAGGGGGCGGCAAAATACAGGTGGCCCATAGGCAGCAAGTAGGTAAATCCGGCCCATGGGCGGCAAGTAGGTAAATCCGGCCCTGTTTTTAAAATGAATTTTGAGTCTAATTTACGTGAGAAATTGATTTACCAAGATTATTTTTCTTAATTAAAATTCACTTTCTTTTTAATACAGTTTTTACGTAAATACATTTGTTCGTAATTTCAAATACTTTTTAGGGAATTTTTATGTTAATTTAATTGTTATGTAAATTTGACTTCCTTTTCCGACTTTTTTCTTTTTATTCGCGTTTTTCTGTGACTTTTAACAATTTTAGACTTTCTTTCCTTGCTCTAGTAAGGATCTAGTCGTCAGAATCTATCCTGAACGACAACTTACATTCATGGAAAATAAAGCTTTAAATATTCCTGACCATTTTTTACCATCCAAACTTACTAGAACACATTGTATAGGTATATGAAAAATTTGAAGAGCATCGCTGTCAAAAGCTAAGTTCTCCTTCAATTTAGCTCTTTTTGTATGGTCTACGGGTAAGGACAAAACTAACTGTTTTTGCTAAATGCTTACTGTTTTTTATTCATAAAATTTGAAAGTCTCAATGAAAGCAAAGCTATGTCCAATCACAGCTAGGTATTTTTATTTTGAGACTGCACATCCCAACTTCTCCCACTTTTTCAGCCGAATTATTTTTTCTTTTTTGGGCTAGATTTTGGTTGGTGCAGTAATGCTGATGGTTATTTTTAGAAGACTATGATGGTGAAACCTAAATTTTCCAATGATATTTTATCAGCATAGTAAACTCAACCACGACTTCAATCATAAATAATTCCATTTAGCGAAATCAAGCTGAAAGGCACAAGTAAGGGTTCATGAAAGTTGAAGTCATAGCTCAACATTATAGGGTAGGTTCAAGTAACTTTTAACGTGTTTTAGACTTTTTTTCTTACCGTAGACCCTGAAAAACCACTCAAATTCAAGGAAAATAAAGCCTTAAATGTTCATACCCATTTTTAAATGTCAGAACTCACTAGACCACATTATATTTATGATAAATTTGAAGAATGTCACTGTGAAAAGTTGAGTTTTCCGTAGATTTAGCACTTTCCGTATGGTCTTTAAGGTAATGACAAAAAGTGCTAAATTGAAGGAGAACTCAACTTTTGACAGAGATATTCTTTAAATTCATCATGAATATAATGTGGTCTAGTGAGTTCCGACAGTTAAAAAATGGTTATGAACATTGAAAACTTTTAGTTCGATGAATTGAAGTTGTCCCTTAGGGTCCATTAGCGCTAAGGAAAAAAATTCTAAAACTTGTTTGAACCAACCCTATAATATTCTCCCACAGGATTCACTTTCAGACAGTAATAATTAATCAACATAAACATCAACCATTACTGATAAATCATCAAAGATCCTATTGGGCGAAATTCAGCCAAAAAGCACCAGTTTGGAGTCCTGACATTTTGGCCACCATTGGTTGCTTATTTACGCTATTAAACTGTGACTCGATGATAAAGAATGCCATAGGGCGACATTCAGCCGAAAGGCACCTGTGTGGGTTCTTTACATTATGGTCACAGTTGATTGCTAAACGCTACCAAACCATGGCTAAATGATCAGAAATTCCATTTGGCGACACATGTTAACACTCTTTGAACATCTGAGGTATGAGTTCTGGAAATTTTGGCTATACTTGGTTGCTAAACGCTACTTAACAGTAAATGTTCAACAGTGACTTGATGATAAAGAATGCCATAGGGCGACATTCCGCCGAAAGGCACCTGTGTGGGTTCTTTACATTATGGTCGCAGTTGATTGCTAAATTCTACCAAACCATGGCTAAATGATCAGAAATTCCATTTGGCATAATAAAGATGTTGCATGTGTGAGGAATTTGCGATTTGACTGTTAAATCTTCTGTAAAAGGTCACGAGAAACACGATGGTGCCACTGGTTTTCTCTGAAATCATCTCCCAAGTTCAAAAAAAAGCACTCAAATTGAGGCCAAAATGGAGGGAATATCCCACCCTACCCTGAGAGTCCAAGTCTAGATCAAGACCAACTCTCTATGCAAAGATAGGGAGCTAATACATTGACAGGGCTACCAATTTATCTGGGGACTCCAAAACTGAAAACACGGCAACCCTGCTCATGTATTTGCTCCCTATCTTTGCATGGAGAGTTTGTCTTCATGTAGACGTGGACTCTCAGGGTAGGGTGGGATATCCCCTCCATTTTGGCCTCAACTTGAGAGCTTTTTTTGAGCTTGGGAGATGATTTCAGAGAAAACCAGTGGCACCATCGTGTTCCTCGCAAACTTTTATACAAGAATCAACAGTCAAATTGCAAATTCCTCGCACGTGTAACACCTCCATTGGGCCAAAATGCACAGATTTCAATACTTCATATGTTACTTGGCTCCTCGAAAATTCTCCTCTTGGACTTAGCCTAAAAGTGTGGACATTCTTCAGCCTCCGGCGAAACCTAGAGTCTATACGGCTTCGCCGCACGACTAAAAATGGCAACGCTGTTTCCCTGCGGTTTTTGCCTGAAAGCAGCCAGATGGAGGCCCAAAATGACCTATACAATCATCTCACATAGTTTCGTACAATCCCCGCAGGGTCACTTTTTGGCCGTTTTGCATAACCCTCTTTCGAAGCTCCTTGCTCTGTAGGCTTTTCTTGCAGTCCTTGCAGCAAAAATTGCCTACCCAGCAAGGAGCTTCGAAAATCTTAAAATTTGTCAAAGCTCTTTTCCGTCGAAATGATGCGTTTCTGGAAAATTTTGTGCAGTACTTTCACCCCCTTGATTTTTCGCGCTCTTTCAGGTGCCGTAATCCGTTTTACGAAATATCATCAATCAAAAAATTTATAACAATTTTCAAAATCGGGAACACTTGTGACCTCATTTTTTGAGGACGTACGTCCTTGAGAACACAAAAAATGGATAGAAAGCTAAAAAGTACCTCCCTAAACCAAGTTTCATAAACTTATGAAAAAATGAGGTACGTACAGCTTTAAAAGCTTCCAACGTGATTTTCGTAAGACTAAAAACACGACGTCCGCTATTTACATACGTCAGGCTCCACGAGTTCATTGACAATACATTTTTAAAGAATTCAGCACTTTATCCTACCTGCGTTTTGTATTGTTTCAAGATCTTGCGGATAGCATCATTGACACTAGCAGGAGTCCCAGAGATGACGAAAGTCAAGGAATGGTCTTTAGAAATAGACATTTCAATTTTCGTCTTGGTGTCTTTGGCAATGTCATTTGGCTTTCTCTCACCTTCACCAAACTTATCACTTTGATCCAGCTTTCGATCTGAAGATGGTACAACCAGAGTCTGAAAAATACCACCGTGTATAAGGATAGAAGCACGTATATGAGACCATTTCTCCTTTGGCATTAAGACAGGGTGTTCCACAATAATAGCATGTCTTGTAAGTAGCTAAACTTTACATGGATTGCATTTTGCAAAACGGAACCAAGAGCAATCTGATGTTGCTAAGATTGTACTACTTGCATTTTCTGCGATAAAATTACTGAAATCACGTAAAAAATTTCAACTACAAAGGTAATTTTTGTCTTCAAAGTAAAGTTTATTGGGAGTAAAAATAAAACATGTTTAGATGATCAGTTTATATTTACAAGGTAAGAAAAGTTGTACTATCTTAGCGACATTATAATACTCGTGGTTCCTTTTTGCAAAATGCAATCCACATTGAAGTAATGATTTAATTCTGAATTTATCGGCCCCCGTTCATTGAAGAAATTACGTGAAAAATGGTTGTTTCTGGTTTGTAAACTGTAAAATTAAATTAACCAAGTAACTAACAGAAATCAGCAATGCTCAACTTTTGGTAATCAGTTGAAATGTAAGCGGACTGTTTTTACCTTGGATATTTCTCTAGGACCAACTCTCATGTGCCCGTTGCCTTGGATGGATCCAGAGTTTTGATGACTCTTGGCCTTGGTGGTTGGCATTGCTGGAAACATCTTGGCGTATTCGCCCGCCTCAGCACTAGAGACATTTTTCTCTTCTTGTTGCATCTTTTAGTTTGCAGGTCCTCACTCGTGGGTTAAAGCCTGAAAATGAGAACATTGACAATTTATCAGACAGGGATTGAACCAAGGACAGCTTTTCTCAGAAATCTCTGCATGTCATTTGACAGCATCTTTAAGAAAATCGGAGGAGTTGAATTGTGAAATCTTAGGGGCTTACTTACTTCTACATTATTACGACACCTCTTGTAGAAAGGAAGATTTTTTTTTCTTCATCGTTTCAGCCTACCTCAGTAGAATTGTATGGTATGAAAAAACACTGCGTCAAAAACCAGATATTCTTAGGAATAAAAAAAAAAAAAAAACTGCGCCGGATGTGTAAAAATATTCAGGAGAAACCTTTCTGATGGCAAAAAAGCAACAAGTAGAGACATAAGAAAGATTAGAGTGGAAAGAGGGCAGACACATTTTACAGCCAAGAAATGAGTTTTTAAGGGCACAGAGATGCCACGTTTTCAAGCTATACCAGTGAAGATATTGTCAAAAAAATTTTAAGATTACTTACGGAAATCAAAGAATTCTTACCTATGTCTATAGTAACAAGTTTTCGAAATAATAAACCAGATCAACTTTTCGTTCAAACCAAAAAATGAAAGCAATTTGGGACAAAAAATTGACAAACTGTTAAATTCCTTTCAAAACTGGTTATTTTGACACTTTACCCAAACAGAAGGTGAACCAGTAGCATGTTTCTTCATTAGTTAACTCTTTTATTACATCAGAAGGCTCACTCCCAGCGTATCTCGGTTGAAAAAGAAGAACACACCTAGAAAGCATTGTTTACATTTTGCCTTTAGTCCGGAGCTCGGACGACCTTCAACCCTGTCGGTTTGTTTGGCAAAGCGCGCTTCTTCATACCCCCATTTTCTACCTGAACGCATTCACATGGCAACGTTCAGAGCCGCTGGAAAGTACAAAACGCGATACATCGGAGTAAACGGGAGTGAACCTTCTGTTGGTGAAGCCTATATATTCTGTGACATGATACCTAAACGCATAATAGAAGTATGGAATATTTTTCATCCTTCATTCCATAGCAGACTTGCAGGCGTAGAAGTCATTCTTCCACAGACTCATTAATAGCAGTAGCAAAGTATTGAGCCTGATTCGAAATACACAAGAAAATTCAATAGATACCTGAGAGGAAATAACAAGGGTTGTCTATGATTTTCTGAGGTGAAGGGTGAGGAACTTCTATGAGAGTTGCAAGCTTCCTGCCCTACCACTGTATTATTTTTCTTAGCTGTTGGAGGCAAGTAAAGATTTAGGGATGTGGATCCAACCCCCCTTAATCTTTAAAGTTACTACCTTTAACTACATGGGCATTGCCTTCCAGCAAATTAAATCAACTATGTGATCACTGTCAAAACAAGCATTTAATGGTTTACACAAAAAGTGTGAAAAAAAATTTCCAGAAGACAGGCCTCTTTCGAACTACCGCGTCTAGGGGAGGTGCCTTTTTTGGGCACTTCTGCCCAGAATTTGGAAACATTCTTTCAAGTTTTAAAGCGTCTGCTCCTGATGAGCATGTTTTATTAAAGAGTCATACTTAAAAAATGCAGACTTAGCATATTGTGGTGCGCTGTTGGGTGGTATGGGTAGGTTGATGTGGTGAAAAGGTAAAAAAACAAAAACGGATCTCGAATGAACAGATACGTACATTGACAAGTGTGCAGTGCAGCAAGTAAGGGTATAAAACTAACCGTCTGTACAAGAGGCTCTGTAGGAATGGCCCCAACGAGAGTGGTGACCAGAGTCTGAAACTATAGTGCCCTGTTGTTTCTTGGACAGTATCATCAAGGGGTTGATGCAGGACATGGAGGCGCTCGCAACAAGGGTAATCAGTGAAAGTGGAAGTGTGAAGGTTGAGGTGATTAGTCCAAACTCCGCTCAGGGTGATCAGATAGGCAGTGCAATGTGCAGAGTCCGGTGATATGAGACGAAGGAATGAGAAGGTGGAGGATATGTCCTATGGCGGGCACATAACTATGTTTTCATACTATACAGTTCAGTTGTTAACCTCACATTTCAAAAGTCAGTTAAGTGAAGTAGTTTAATCAACCCAAGAACAGCAGTGTTCGTTTTCTTCATTTCCTTCATTTTTCAAAGATTTTCCAAAGAGGAGGTAAACTGAGACAAATTTTGAACTTCTTTAACTTCTCTCTTTCAAAACGAAGCTCATTTCCATATATTTTGAAATAATTAAGGTTATGCGGTGCAAGTTCTGAGATAATGAGCCACTAGACAAGGTACGAATTTCAGCATTCTGATACACGTTTCTTAGGAAAAGTTTTACGTAAAAACACGATGCACACAACGAAAATTACCGAAATTACCTCCTTATGAAGATATTCAATGATTCCTGATGCATGAATTCAAACCACCCGCTCAATAAAACTCAATGCTCTACGTGATTCACATTGCGCGTTGAATATTATAGTGACAGTTGCTGCGATATGAAAATCTGGCAACCACAATTTTGACGCTTTGGCTCAGCTATAGCAAATTGCTTATAATTTGAACAGCACATGGTGGGAAATGAACAGTGCTCCATTGAGAGGCTTGTTGAAACTGTTGTAGTGCGCGATTTGACTCACGTAGAGCTTTGAGTTTCTTGTGAGGGGGCAGTTCAAAATCCGCATAACCAATGTGAAATAAAAAGGTTAGTATCTTCGTCAGGAGTTAGTTTCTGTAATTTTCGTTGCGCGAATCGTGTTCTACGTGAAATTCTGACTAAGAAACATGTATCAGAATGCTTGAATTCGTGCCTTGTCTAGTGGTCCATTGATGGCAAGTGGGCTAGGAGAGAGCTGCTCTGGTGGAGTTTACAGTTTAAGTTATCATTTTGAACAGTCATCACTGTCTGAATTTTTTACATTAGGTCTAAATTAAAATTGCAGGATATGTTGAATCCACTGTTAAAAAGTCTTATGTAAGTTTAAAATTGAGGGTTGGAACGACACCTTGAGACATAAGTCATCACTGGTAGTTTTTTTTTTTTTTTTTTTTTTTAGGATTGATATGTTAACAACAATCCACAAAAATTATTCAATTGACTTTGGACCAGAGAGAAAAAAAAGGAGGTGTTAGCATCTTGAGGATTGTGTACCCTGTGACGCAGGTCGGTACAACCTGGTCAGCAAATTCCAGAATTCGAAATATGAAAAACGGACCATGACGGCCGATTTTTTTACTTAAATCAACTCATGATATAATTTCAAACACTTTATGGAGAATGCATTTTTTCCATAAACTACACCATTTCCAAGAGAATCGATGATGGAAGTCGCGGTACCAACCTACGTCATCAAAATAATTCCAAGATGCCCGAAATGCAAACACTTCCTTTTCTTTCTCTCTGACTTTGGACAAGACGTCTCACAATTATGATCACTGGCATATCAAAAAGGATGGGGAGGAGATAGTGATTTTGTAATCACAAATAGCGAGACTAGAGAGTTGGTGCGTGATGATCATGAGCCACAAATGAAAAATGAGTCAGATATGAGCATCACATAGGTATAATCTGCTCAGAATGAAATTTAACACCAGGCAACATATTGATAGTTGCAAATTAATCAGCAAAACACTCAGTGCTACTAAAAATAAAGTTGAGGGTTCTCAGGAATATTAGGAGGGGAAATTCTTAAAATTCAAGCGCAAAACCAGGTGTGGAAATCAAGATGAGTAATTCCTCACAACTCGACTGTGAGAGTGATACTTGTTATTTTTTGTTCCGTTTTCCTTCGTTTGCTACACCCACCACAAGATCTCTTGAAGGCTGCTGATGTGTATTAATAATTTGTATTTTACATATTTTCATAATGGTATTGTCCTGTACTATCCCAAGAGAAGAGGAAAAAAATTATTATTTCAGTATGAAGAAGAATCATTGATACGAATCAAACAAGAAAAGAACTACGATGCAGGACAGAGAGCAAGATCCTGGCAATTATGGAACTATTGTAGAATTTCAGCTAGTCACAGAGAGAATTTTGTTGGTCTATTATGACAAGCGGAGAGAAATAAATGATAAAATAGTGTGCTGAGGCTGGGAGATGGGGATATGCTTGCAAGTTTGCAATATTCTAGAGGTACACATTTCAGTTTCACAGGAAAATGTGAGCGAATTCCAGCATGTTTCCTGCGCTGGGAGAAGAGAAATCGAAAACCATCCGAAGCAAAGGCGGTGATGAGAAAATATGCAAAATGAATGCTCCAACACAGAGTCGACGTGTCACGACAATTTAGCCTAAAACGTCTCGGTCTCGAAATGCAGCGGTCGAATATGTTCAACAGGGGTTGAAGATACTTACTTTGCGATAGTCCGAAAAGTCCGTGGAATCAGAGATTGTTGACTAAGACCACTCCAGTTTGACTGTGTTAATGTGCACTTTTTAAAGTGAAAAGTGTGAAGACTGTGGCTAACGATGTATTCACGGCTGGAGCAAGGAGCACCTCGGCTAGAGCATCTAGAGGTACTGTCTAGTATGAAGAAGCAAGGCGGATAAAGAATGGTGGTCGCATTTCGTACCCTCTGGACGTCACACGGTATCGGGTACATCGGGTACATGGGCTGGCCGAGGCCGGGGGGGCCGACTCAACCCGACTCAACCACAGAATATATAGGCTTCACCTAGGTGAAGCCTATATATTCTGTGACTCAACCTCGGATTGCACGGCAAAACCCGTACCCTCCTGACGTCACAACGCTTCAAGATGGCAGCCAAAATCGAAATGCGACCACCATTCTTTATCCGCCTTGGGAAGAAGAACGACACCACACCACGTTGGACAGGACGTCCAAGTTGTGGAGTTAAAATTGACCTTTAGCCTGTGACTGACTCTGCAGTTCAGCGAAATGTTTTTCCAACTTCCTTTTCGCGATAAAAGCCATCCGTGTCGATACAGTGAGTTTGCAGATAGCTCAAAAATGTTTGGATCATCAAAATTGTGTGCATTCATGATCAATTCAGGCGATAAGAATTTTTTAAGAATCCGTCCCTGTGGCGTGTTCGGTGGTAACACTGATATATGAATCTCCACGCAGCCTGCCACCACGGACTCCACGAGCACGAGTCCACGCATTTAAAGCATAGAGTACAATAGAGTCGCAATGTACTGGAGCGCCGATGAAGTCAATCCATGAACGGGGGCCTTCGGCCTTTCCGAGCCGCTTGTGCTCCGAAAAGTGTGAACCAAGTGTGAACCCAACGGCACTTTTTATCATGGTGGCTTATGGAGAAATCAAGAACTGCTTAAGTTTTTCCGACATTTTTTTATTCAATCAGCATTAATTTTTGCAAATTTTCTTGTTACAGGTAGTCAAAGCCATAGTGAATCCATTAATGCATCATACTCCTGAATAATATTCAAAAAGGAACGTAAAGTAAGACTTAAACCAAGTGTGAACCGACCGGCATTTCTTATCACGGTGGCTTACAGGAAAAGCAACGACTGCTTGTGTTTTTTCGACATTTTTTAATTCCATCGATATTAATTTTTGCAAATTTTGCTTGAAATAGATATTCAAAGCCATAATGAATCCATTAATGTATGTTACTCCAGATAATATTCATGTATGGACTCAATTTCAGACTTATTACCGGCCTACTTACTTAGCTGGTTTCAATGTATGTGGAATGATGTGGACAGTGGCGGGACCGGGTCGGAAGGGGGGTATGGAACGCCGTTAGTGTCAAAACCCTTTTCTTGCGCGCGCGGAATTTTTTCTGGCGCGTGGAATTTTTTTTCGGCGCGCGGAAAGAAAAAACCCGTTTTCGATGAAAATCTCTGAAT